CCTAGTTGCATAGCAGCAAGAGATTTAGAAGAATGTAGAGAGATGGTCCATGCCTTCTGGTAGCTCCCAGTCTTATGGAAGCAGCAGATACAAAGATAAGGCTTTCTATCTAAGATTCCATCTATCTAGTTGGATAGAACTGTTCAGAGCATCCCTGGGAAGATAGAAAAGAACTAAGAGGAACAGGAGGGGCTGTCTAAGACAATCTCAGCCAATGAGGTGGAAGAGCAAGGCTAGTGTTACACCAGGCAGAATAAGGTGGCTGCCTGAGTCATAAAAATTGAGTGGTTCCCCTAAAAAGCCCCTTTCCAAATGGGAACTATCTCCCCAGCTGGGTCTGCCATAGTGCCTGCAATCCTTGCATAAGCATACCCTTAGAGAATCCTAGAATGTAAGAGTTGGAATGGATCTGAGAAATCATGGAGCCCAACTCTCTCTCCTATACTGTGTAGTGGCAAGAACACTGGATCAGGGGACGAGTTGTTAAATTCAAGATGGGCAAGTTGCCACTTGTGTTACTTTAGTTCCTTCATCTGTAAAATGAGGGAATTGGATTCAATGGAGATCTAATCTATGAACTCTGTTTAAATGCCAATAGGAAGTATAACACATGAAGTCATTATCAGCCCTTGATACCTCAAGGGTTCAGGCAGACTAGGAGGGAGTGAGAGCTTTAATGGAAGCAGAAAAAGTTTAAGACCTGGGATACTTCAAGAAAGAGGGCAGGCTCAGGTGGGGTACTGAAATATGGAAACTCTTAGTAGGGGTATTGGGAGTGTGAGGGACTTAACATGAAGGCAATGAAATGCTGAGAGAAGGGAGGAAGGGCTGCAGGGAGAGAAGGGGAAAGAGCATTGGGGGCAACTGCTGGCCAATATCTCCTAAGACCAGATTTCTGGGTCTCAAACATTGCTATACCCAGACATCTTGGGGCCCAAGCCCCCTTCTTCCCTCTCTCCCTTGGCAATCAGCCCACCAGCTGCCAGAGAGCAAGAGAGGAATCTGCTTTGCATTACTAAGAAGCTGTCTCCTCACAGACATATGGTCAGCAGACCCCCCTACCCCAGGGCATCTTGGGAAGCGTCTCCTTCTGACTCCAACCCTCACCCTGGTTTCTCCTCTCCAAAAGAGAGCCCCTGAAGTGACCAAGTCCCCTAATTCCAATGGTTTGTCTGTCCTTCTCCCCACCCCCATCCCAAGTTGGGGAGCCAGGATGTTGGAGAGGGATGAAGATTTTTGAGTTTCTCTTCTTTCTGCTTCCCACACTCCAAGGGTGAGAAAGAGGGGCTGTGATTCAGGAATGTGATGAGTGGAAGACTTTGGAGCGACAGAATTACACACTTTAGGTCCTCCAAAAGTGTATGAGGGGGAAAGGCAGGGGATCCCCTATAATCTGATCCTACTGAGGTCAGGATAAGAGCAGATGGGTCAAGGCTACAATGAGAACTAGGATAAGAAATGGGGGGAGGACTCTCTAGTTGTGTCAAACATTAGTTCCCAGAGCTTATCATGGAGGTAAAGTAGAATGGAAGGAGCTACAATTGGAGGAGTTGAGATTAGAAATGAGGAAAGAAAAGGCTTGAGGAAAGAAAGAGGAAGTCTTTTCCTTCCCACCCCTCAACCTGGAGGAGGCTTTCTAGAATGGAAATTCAATTCAAAAACCCCCAAGTGGTGTATTAGTGTGTGGTTAACAACTGTCTCTGTCTCTGTCTCTGTCTCTGTCTCTCTCTCTCTGTCTCTCTCTCTGTCTCTCTCTCTGTCTCTCTCTCTCTCTAATACTGGTAACTCTCTGAGGGCAAGAATGACTTCTTCTGAATCTCCTCCTAATACCTAGCACAAGTCTCTGCCCACAGCTTATACTCAGCTTGGAGGACTGTGGTTGTGTGTGGTTTGTCTTCGTTCTCAAAAAGGACCATGACTTCAGGAAGAAGATGTCATGACTTGAAAATGAATTGGATTTAAATGAGGGAGGGCTGTGTAAAGTCACCAGCCTCACTTTCTCCTCAGGAGCCATCTGGGTTCAGTGGCCAGATATAGATCAGGACAACTGAAGATGGCCCAGGATGCAGTGGGAGACCATGGCCTTTTTAAGCTAAGGTCTGACTGCCAAGAGAAAGAGGGCCTAAGAGGGTGGACTTCTCAGATGGGAGCTGGGAATTCTTTCTCCAGTAGAACCCTCTGATGGGGGGGGGGGCCCTTTGTCTCCCCAACAGGAGCACTAAATTGGTACCATTAATACTATAGCACTTCTTCCTCTGATGAGTATGACTCTCTGAAATATGCTTCCAGCCCCTGCCTCTCTCAGGAGAGAGGATGCCCCAGAGTGAAAACAGAGGGCCAGGGGTTGGGATATTTGGGTCTGAGTGATAGAGTATCTCCACTTCAGTTTTCCTTTCCTTCTCCCCTAGAAAGATTCTTCCCAAGACTGGGGAGTTATCCAAATCCAAATAGCCCCTCTCTTCCAACCGCCATTGTAGAGACAACTCCCCCAGGAGGTTGAGTAGGATAATAGGAAGAGCTGTGTATTTGGAGCTAGAAATCTGGGATGGAATTACATTTCCTACAAGCACAGATTTAGAGCTGCAACGGACCCTAGGAGCTATCTAGCCTGACCCTCCAATTTTATAGATGAGGAAACTGAGGCCAACACATTAAATGACTTGCCCAAAGTCACACAGGTGGTAAGTGAGAGTGGGCATGCCAGCCCAGGTCCTCTGACTCCAGTCCCACTGCCAAGAATTGCTATTTACTTACTACCTGTGTGGTCTCATGCACATCACTCAGTTTTTGCATCTGTGAAAGGGGGCACTGGTGTTGGTGATCTCTAAGGTCCAGCTAGGTGGCACAGTGGATAGAGCGCCAGGCCTGGAGTCAGGAAGACTCATCTTCCTTAGTTCAAATCTGGCCTCAGACACTTACTAGCTGTGTGACCCTGGGTAAGTCACTTAACCCTGCTTGGCTCAATCTCCTCGTTTGTAAAATGAGCTGGGGAAGGAAATGGCAAACTCACTCCAGCATCTCTGCCAAGAGAATCCCAAATGGGGTCAGGAAAGAGATGGGCATGACAAACAAGCAAAGTTCTAGTTCTAGAAAACCCTTCAAAATACAGTCTTCCCACACTTTGGGCAGTGTTTCTTTGGTTATCTCCCCTGGGGTCTCATCACTCCTTTACCTTTGCCTTCTTGGGAGAATAGGGTTCAGTTTGTATGTTATTCCTTTGACTGGTTTATATGTTGCTCTGTTCTGAAGGTGTGTCCTCCGTTCCTCCATCAGCTTGGCAGGTGCCTGAGATGGGAGGGTCTCCCCACTGAGGTTGCTACAAGTATTTTGTCATATATGGGACCTTTCTTTTGGTTCTTGACTTTCTTGTGGCAAATACTGGAACCAAAGATACAGCCTAGCCACTTTTCTTGCCACATTCCAGATACTTTTCAGAACAACTAGAGTCCAGTTACTACACCAATTCACAGCTCTACTGCATGTTAGTTTGTAAAGAACCAATAGATTCTTTAGTTTGTAGGTAACTTCTGTCTTTCCCTCTCAGGTTGGGAACTCCCTGAGGGCAAGGTCGGGGTCTCCTTTATCTGAATCTCTATCCAGAATATCAACAGAATATTTTCAATTTGCCGGATTAAAGGATAAAGAAAGAGTGGAGAGCCTAAATACCTCTCCTCCTCCTCCTCCTGTCTCTCAATGATCTCCAATCCCTCAAACTGTCCTGACTTCTGGCTGAGGCAATTTTGGCTTCTCTCCTTGGGCGCCAAAGGCTGAAACTGTTTGTTTTTCCTTTGGAGGATGGAGCCTAACACTCATCCTCCAATTTTCCCAGCCTACCACAGAGCCAGAACCTCTAGTGGACAGAGCCAGGGAGCTGTAGAGGGCCAAAGAACGCTAAGAAAACTCCCAGACCCTGCGCTACGAAGCCAGAGACATGGAGGAGGAGGAGAAGAAGGAGGAGGAGGAGGGCAGAAGGGCTGAATATGGGAGAGGAGGGCCCGGAACAAGAGGGCAACAGAGAACAGCAGTAGCTGAGAGCAGTGCCAAGAGCTGGCACCAGCTGGGTCAGGATCAAAGCTGAACCAGGCTGGCAAAAGCCAAGGAAGGATTCAAGGGATTTGGGAATTTTGGCTCAGGCCTTTCCCTGGAGAACCGGGTAGGGGGACCTCCCTGCCTGACTGCAGGATGAGGTCCCGACTGACATCTGGAATCAGCCTCATTAGGAGGGGGTTGGTTACTGGCCAGGCCATCCGAGTGGCTGTGGGTGTTGGAGAGTAAGTAAGCTCCCTTCATCAAGTCCCTTGTTCCCCTGTGATCAGTTTCACTTGTGACATAGGGGTCAAGTTCGCTGCTGGTCATTTTCATGCCTAGTCAATTTCACTTTCCCTCTCTAGCCTCAGAAGAGGGAGTGGAAGTGAGAATAGTTCCCTACTGCCCTCCAACTCTTCTCCTTAGCGAGAAAAATTAACCACTTCATGACCACAAAATTTTACTTGATTTTGTTTTAAAACTTTCCCTATCGAGGGGTGAGGGAAATCAATCTTGAAGCCTGGATTAGACACCTGGTTCCCCCTCCTTTCCATTTTTTCCTCTTCCCTCAATATTTATTCCCGAAAAAAAATCTGTATTTTTTTTTTCCTATTTAATTATCATCTTTTATGTTTTATGTGTTGGTTTCAAGAAGGTTCAAGAGACAATTACACAGGATGCAAGGGGACAGGGTATTGAGGACTGGAGGGTGGGCAAACAGAGAGACAGATCTGGAGGCTGTGGACAAAAGTCCCCCCACCCCTGCTCCCATGGGAAAAAGGGGGAATGTCACCTCCAACCCAATGGGGGTGGGGTGAAAAAGGTGATTTCAGGGTTAGAGGGGTCAAGCACCCATACTCATGCTAAAACATACTTGCAAAACCTTCTCCCAAGTGGAACAGCTCCCACCCCCAACCCCATGCCAACCCCCTCCTCCAAGGAGGGAGAAATAAATAAAACTCTACTTCAGGGAGTGACCAGAAGGACAAGCCTCTCATTCCCCCAGACAGAACCAAGTCAAAGAGATGGCATTATATACAGTTTCCGGGTTTCCACAGTTTCTTTCATGATCCCACCCTGCCTCCATGCCAAAAAAAAAAAAAAATCCTTGCTTTCTTACACAGGGCCTGGAGGGCCCTCTCCCAAGCCAAAAGGAAAGGGCACTCAACAGGCCTTTCCCAGGGCCTGGGATCTCTTCTTTACTCCAGGACAAGTAGAATGAGGATCACAGTTATTGCAACATCACTTTTCCAGGCCTGAGGAAATCGGGACAGGAACAGAGGGTAGTAGAAATTCCACTGATAAAAATGAGGATCATTCCCCTCTGTCCTTCATCTGCCTGATGGCCATGATGGAAGAGGAGTCCCTTCCAGGTCCCCAATACCCGGGAGAGATCTTCTGCTGAGCACAATCTAATCCTCCTGCTGTCCTGCTTCTCTGATCCTGAAGTTCACCCCTCAAACTCATCCTCTCCTGCCCTGTCCCCAGCCAAGATCTGATCAGCCTTCATCCTTCATCCCTACCTAACTGGGCTTGCAACCACAGAGAAAGTAAGTCTCTGCCCCTCCCAAGGTGCCTAGGAGTGGGAGGGTGGGGGTGGAGAAAAAGGCATTACTGTATGACCAGCCTGCCTCTGTTCTCCTGATCTGAAGGGAATGGGGTATTGGGAGGGAGGGATCACTGGCTTGGTTCAGGGCTGGAGTCGCCAAACCCAGGGTGAAGAAAATAAAGAGGGAGGACAGATTCCAAATTCCCTCAGAATCTTCTCTGGCAGCTTCCCGAGACAGGATCCTGACCTAGCCCAAGAGACAAAAAATGGTTGTTGAAGAGAAATGTGTGTGTGTGTGTGTGTGTGTGTGTGTGTGTGTGTGTGTGTGTGATAGGATGGTGGGGGGCCCCAGCAAGGGTAGTAGCCGTCAGCAGGATTACTCCATCACATATTAATCAAAACAGTCCTGTCTTATGACCCTGGTCCCTTCGGCAAAGGAGTAGGGACACCTGGAAGTCTGGGGTAGGGGTGAGCCTGTGCCTGCAAGGGAAACTTCCCTGTTTTCCTCTTTCCTACTTTCCTATAAGGGAGAAGAATCCATCATCACTTATGGGTGTTTGTGTGACCTTGAACAAGTCATTCCCCCCTCTCTGGGCCTCAGTGTCCTGTAAAAGGAGAGGAACTAGGTGGTTGCTTAGGTCCCTGCCAAGTCTGTCCATATAAGATTCTGTCATTTTTCACTGCCTGGGACTGACCAGAAGGGCAGAGTAGGAATAGAGCAGTTAGGATTAAAAGTTCATTAGAAGACAGTTTTTCACTCCCAGGTTTCACAGTGTCAAGTGCATATGACCATACCTTCCTGCCTCTTACCAAGTCCCCTTTCTGTCACTGAACTTGTGGTCGTGGGGGGAAGAGAATGTCTTTTCTCCTTACCCTCCACCCCAAGCCCCTTCTCCATAACCAGAAGGCAGGAGGGAGGGGTAGGGATCAGGGAGCCACATGAAAAAGGGGAAGGTGAGGGTAGAGGGGCTGCTATCACAGATGGAAATCAGGATGGTCAAGAAAGGGAAAGTGAGGAAAAGAACGGGAAGCCCACTCCCTGACCTTTGACCTCTACCCCCTGGAGAGAAGGGGGTTTGCTCTCCAGGGGAGCTTATTGGGGATTTGGCTCGAGCGTCTGACAATCTGAAAGAGGATCTGAGGACCTGCTGAGGGAGTGAGAAGGAGACACCCCAGTGGGTAACCATTAGCCAAGAGGGCGAATGTCCCTTCGGGTAGAAGGAAGTCTCTCCTCCCTCTCCAGTTTCCTTCACATCTGAAGGGCTCTGCCCTGTGGGATGCTGAGGGTAAGGGGTTGAGGGGAGGGAGGGGAGCCCCAATGCCTGCTCAAACGGGGGAGGTGGCAGTGGACTCGCTATAGAGGTTTTCCACAATGTCTCCCCTCTGGATCCGGCGCAGGGCAGCGTAGAGGGCATCCAGGGTGGCGCTGTCCTGGGCAGCCCAGCTGTCGAGCAGAGCCCTGACAGGGCAGTCCTCTCGGGTGAGGGAGTCTATATGCTCGGGCAAGTAGCCCAGCTCCCCGGCCAGGTGTCGCCAGGTGTCTCCCGATGAGCTGTTAAGCAACTTTTCCACTTCTTCCCGTTTGGCTGGTGGGAGGCTGCTGTAGAGACCTCCATCCCCCTTGAGAGCTACAAGAGAGAGGTGGGGTAGTCAGGCAGGGAGAGGTGCACCCCTTACAAGATGGACAGCAGGAGACTCCCTTCTGGGGAATAGACTGACCTTGAAACAGCAGCGTTTGGAGGTTAGACTTGTAGAAGCCCTGAGACCTTGGATAAAGCACTCAGAATAGGTTGTATCAAGGCAGCTAGGTATCTCAGTGGATAGAGCACTGGGTCTGAAGTCAGGAAGACCTGAGTTCAAATCCTACCTTAGACACCTACTAGCTATATGATTCCTGAGCAAGTCACTTAACCTCTGTTTGCCTTAATCCACTGGAGAAGGAAATGGTGAACTATTCCAGTATCTTTGACAAGAAAACCCCACGGACAATATGATACGTGGGGCCATGAAATGTTGGATACAACTGAATCTATTCAACAACAACAGTTGTGTCATACGCCGAAAAGAAAGTTCATAGACCTAAGTCTGGAAGTATTAAGACTAATGAGTCATTTACTTTGGCCCTCAGTTTTCTCATCTACAAAATGAGGGATTTGGTTAGATCAGTGGTTCTTGAACTTGAATCCATGGACTCAAAGGGTCCATGGATATATTGCAGGGGTTCCATGAACTTAGACAGGAAAACAATTACATATTTTTTCAATATAATTGGTTTTCCTTGGAAACCTATATATTTTCTCCTATGCATTTAAAAAACATTATTCTGATATGAAGTTCATAGGTTTCACCAGGCTGCCAAAGGGGTCTGTGACACACAAAAAACGGTTCAGAACCACCAGTCTGGATGATCCCAAAGGTCCCTTTCAGTGCCAGATCCTATGAACTGACAGAAAAGCACTGGGAGAGGATATGACCACTAGAAGTCAGGGGCATGGCCAAGGCAAATTCTGCAGTTCCTGCTCCCAGGTCTGCTCCCTTCCCTTCCAACCGACTAATGAGGGGGTGGGCATGGGGAGAGACGGTGAGGGAAGAGGAGGGGGTGTGAGACAGAACTTCTCTGCTCTGAATAGTCTATAGAAAGGTACAAGGGCCTGGTGGGTGAACTGGAACCATGCTATGGGTGGCTAATTAGGGACATAATTAACCACTTGTCCCTGGGAAGTCTGGGGCAGGAGGCTAATTGCAGCCACTTTCTGGGGTAATTAGCCCCAGGGGGGGCAATTAGCTTGATGAGTCTGGAAGGTCTGGTTTAGAAAAGACCTCCCAGCTCCTCTGGCTGGAAAAGGTTTCCAAGGTCATCTCATCTATTTCCCAGAGTCCAGGCTGACCACTCCCTGGTTCCAGATGCATGGAAATAGTTAGATGGTCCATAGAGTGCTGGACTTGAAGTCTGGAACATATGAGCTCAAATCCTACCTCAGACACTAACTAGATGTGTGACCCTGTGCAGGTCACTTAACCTTCTGTGCCTTAGTTTCCTCATCTGCAAAATGGGGATAATAATAACATCTACTTCACAAGGTTGTTATAAGGATCAAATGAGATAACACGTAATGTGGTTTGCAAACCTTAAGGTGCTAGCTATGATTATTATTGTTATTATTTATTATTATCATTATCATTACAGAAGTTTCTCTTTCAGATCATTCCTTTGAAGAAGATAACACCATCCACTTGCCTTGGTTACTTCCCTCCTCTTTAAGTCTAACCTCCATCCCTACTACAACAGCTTGTTTTGTCAGAACCCAGGGGAGGGTGCCCATGGGTGAAATCAGCCACCGTCCCAAGGTGTGTGGAGATTTCTTCCCCCTGACCCTCTTACCCACAGGAGCCCCAGCCCTAGTACCTTGGACTTGAGCTGTCTGAGTCTGGGGCTGCTGGTCATGGAGACTCTGGCTGTCCACAGAGATGCCACTGTCACTATGTAGCTTCTCCCCCTCTGGCGACGGTGTCTGGTTCACAGGCCGATTGTTGGCACCTTGCTTATTCTGCTTACAGCTGTTCCATCTGAGGTCAGAGAGGGACAGGCTCAGGGCCTCAGGCTGTTGCCCGTCCCTGTTTGCATATTCTTTGGATAATCGTGTGTGTGTGTGTGTGTGTGTGTGTGTGACATGTATTACTAATCATACATAATGCGTACATATGGGTGCTCATGGGCACAAGTGGCAGCGACTTTGTTTTCCACTTCTCTTGTGCATTTATTCTGTAACTTTGTGTATTTTTATCGTTATTTCTTTCTCTCTTATCTATCACCTTTAGCTAAAATGTAAACTTCATGAAGAAAGGGACCATGTCTTATATGTCTTCTGCACTCAGTGAGTGACCTTCCTAGCAGGTAAAGCCTAGGTCCTAGGCCCTAGGAGCTGTGGAAAAGACACTAGGTGAGGGCTGAGCTCCTATTGAGGGAAGGAAGGAAAGAAGGAAGGAAGAAAGGAAGGAGGGAGGGAGGACGGAGAAAGGGAGGAATGAGGGAGGAAAATGGGAGGGAGGAAAGAGGTAGAGAGAAAGGGAAGAAGGAAGGAAGGAGAAAGGGAAGAAGGAAGGAAGAAGGGGAGGGAGAAATGGAGGAAGAAAGGGACAAAAGGAGGAAGGTAGAAGGGATGGAAGTAAGAAGGGAGGGAAGGAAAAAAGGAGAAAAGGAGGGAAGGAAGAAGGGAGGCAGGATCTCATGATTCCTTCTCAGCTCTCTACCCACATAAATTCACTTTCTTCTACCATATCCAGAAACTGGGAAGCTGAAGGGAAAATTGAGTCTGGTTCTCAGCTGAAGTGAAAAAAATATGTGTATGGTGGGGTTCAGGTCATGAATCAAAGACCCAAAGTCCAGAATCAAAGGTCAAATATCTTCACAATTATGACTATCCAAAAATGGAGGGGGCTGCCACAGGAGGAATAGACTGGATTACTGCCTGACGGACATGTGATATAGTAGATCCCTGCTCAAGTACAGGCTGGACAAAATGTTTTTTGAAGCCCTTTCCAACTCAAGAGATTTAACACTCCAACCCCCAAATGGCTAGGAGTTTGGTCCATAAATAAGAGGAAAGAAGTGTGTGACTTTGGGCTCATATTTCTTGGAGTCTCAGTTTTCTCCTCTGTAAAATGGACTCTATAATCTTTAAGATCCCTCCCAACTCTGGCATTTGAAGGTCCTTTCCAGTTCTGACATTCTAGGTTCTGACATCCTTTGTTCTAAGGTTCCATTGTGACCGAATATCTTGTGATTTTTGTCATTCTGGATCAAAGAGCTGAAAGGCTTCAAGCCTCCAGCTCCTCAACCCTCTTACTTACCTCTTGAAGACGATGTAGGCCAGCAGACCCACAACCACGGCGGCCAGGATGGAACAGTAGACAGGGATGAGATTGTCAGTGGTACCTCGGGTCACTACAGGTTGGGAGCTGCCCATCACCGTGGTCACCACATCAGCCACCGTGCTGGCCTCGGTTTCAGGCTCTGGGGGCTCATGAGGCTCCTGGGTGATTGGGGGTGGGCTGTCAGAGCCCAGCAAAGGTGTGGTCCGGGTTGTCCAGCGGGCTGGGATCTCTGTCCAAGGATTACAAGATAGAGGAGGTGGGTAAGTCCTTCCCACCCTGTACTTTGCATTCCCTCCCTCCCTGCCTCACCTCCCAGCCTTCTTTTCTTACACTTTCCCTTTCTATGAGGCCCCAGCCCTACTCAGAAGCCCCTCTCACCTTAAGACTCCCCCATTGCACATTTCAGAGGCATAGGGTGGTAGGAGAGGAAAGGGTGTGAGGAGAAAGGTGTCCCGGCTAGCAGAATAGTGCTGAACTTGGTGTCTGACCTGGGAGACCAGACTGTGATATTTACTGTGTGACCTTGAGAAAATCACCAAACCTCTCTGAACCTATTTCCTCCTCTGTAAAATGAGGGTGTTAGTAAAAAAAAAAAAAAATGAGGGTATTAGTGCTTACTAACAGGTTGTTCTGGAGATCAAATAAGATAATGTATGTAAAGAGCTTTGCTAAATAAAAAGCTATATATAAATGTTACCAATTATTATTTTCATTATTTGTGAATAGGCGTGTTGTGAATACGTATGTACAGTTGCCAGGATAGAAGGACCAGGGCCAAGAACATAGACAGGAAATGGACAACAGCAAAGACCTCGAATCAGAATCCTCACTCCCACCCCTAAAGCTCAATGCCGTGGGATTCTGGGAAACAAGTTCTCTTACTTTGCTGGGTTTTGCTTGCCCCATACAGCCCCTAGCAAGCTGTACCCTGAAGAACAGGAGATACTTTGTCAAGTTTAGACAGAGAAGATACACAACTTCCACAAGGAGCTGGCTTCTGTCCCTGTCCTGTCCCGTTCCCTGTTGCTTAGTCCATACTCCCTTTCCCTCACCATGCCACCAAGACTCCTTGGGAATTGAAGGGTTCGGCTGGCTCCCTCTCCTTGGCCTATGACTAGGCAAAGCCCAACATCTGTTTCTGAATTGGCAAGGGCCATGCCTAGCCCAGGCCCCACAATGTGTCTGGTCTTGCCACCCAAAGAAACACCGTAGGGCAGACTTAACCCTTTATTGGGAGGGAGCAACACCCACACTCTGGGAAATGAAGGGAGGTTGTAGGTTTCTGAGCCAAGAAAGTTCACAATACCCACTGGTAGAAGAAGGGAAGGGATGGATACTTTAGCCCTCTGCTTGTGCCGGGCATCTCCTGGCAGGAGTGGGTGGGATTTTCCATTTTACCACCCAGTCAGGGGGCACCCAGTGCCAGCTATGTAGCCTCTAGATGCCCTGGGGTATCTGCCTGGGCATGGAATGCATATCCTTACCCAAGTTAGGGCTGACTAAGGGGAAAGAAGAGACAGGATGTCTTATAGGCTGCATCTCCCAGGCAGGTACCTCTCCCTTCCCACCCCTACCACTCCAAAGTATCCCCTGGTTCACCTACCCAAGCAGGAGCTACCTATTTGCGTTGCTATGTTTCCTTGACTTGAGGATAAAGCCACTTCAAAGCATTTATATTTCAGTCCCTGCTGAGGGATGTGTCTTCCAGATGTGTATCTGGAGTCCACCTGATTGGTAGGGTTGGTGGGGAGGGATATACCATCTACCGCAACCAATCATCCCACCCCTGCGGTGAGACGCCAGCCGAGTTATCCCGCAGCATCACAGAAGGTATTAGAGCTTCCTGAACTTTTGCCATGACCATGCTGTATGACTTTTTGGGTAAACTGCTTTCCTTTGTGGGCCTCCAGAACCACCATTTATACTCTGGTGGATGTCCCCATATCCTCTCCCTCTTCCCTCTCAAACACTGTCCTTCAGACTTTGTCATGCCCTCTTCTCAGACTATAGCAAACAGACCTAGTCAGGCTGATGGGACTGGATATCAAGAGGGTCGGTCAATTTACAAGGGAAGGAGTGGCTAGTCAGGTCATTATGGTAATTACCAGGGAAGTCCAGGATATAGGAGGAAGGGAACAGGAGAGGGGCTTTCTAGGGCCAGAATCTGGATGGAATTTGGGTCAAGAGCCAACAATGAGTTTTATCCCCACCCCCTGATCCCTTTTCCCCCTCCATCTTCCCAATTCCCTCTAATTTTTTTTGGGTGTGGGGGGCAGATAGGAAATGAGACCCAGATGTGGCCACATCCCCTTGTATCCCAACCTGCCAAACCCTTAGCCTGTCTGGATAGCTGTTTCCAGGCTAAAAGTTGGCTCTGGGTGGCAAGGAGGGAGGGAGAAGCTTGGGATGGTAGACAAACAGACCTACTTTTGCATTTCCCCCACATCCTACTTTTCATTTTAAACCTAACCTGGTGGTTAGCCCAGGTGGGAAAGTGTTATTCCACCCTGGAGGGCAGGTCACCTTATTAACATTTTATTTGTATGTAAATACATATATATATATATATATATATGATCTCCAGGAAAATATGTTATCCTAGGAGTACAGGACAATCAAATTAAGAGCTTAATTCCATTTCCCAGAACTCTATGAATCTATGCAGGCTGTTAATGCTTTGATGTTCTGGGGAGGAAGAAGTTTGGAAGGAACCAAACTGGGGGAGCTAGCAAGATGTTTACAAATGTCCCCCAGTGGCAAACCATCCACCCCTCCTCCCTATATCTCCTTCCTCTGCCTCTAAGCTCTTATCTGGCCTTTTCCCAAACCTAGGCTGTCCCAACTTGCCCAAAGAGAGAGGCTCAGGTAGAGAAGTTCTTCCCTTCCTTACTCTACCTGGAAGCAAGGAGTTTTTATTTTTTCTCCTTCTATCCACCAATCACCTACTCTAAGATCTTCTAGCAGGGCACAGCACGCTACTCCTTTCTATTCCCCAGAAGCCAAACACACACACAGAGGCACTCACATACAAACATGCAAATAACACGCACACCCTGGTTTGAACCCAGATGGAAGAAAAAAATAAACCTTCCTCACCCACGTCTTTATAATTGCCTTGCTTCAGAGAGGCCTTGGGGCTGGTGAGGAGCTTAGAGCTTCCTGAAGGTAGGAACCATAGGTCCTCAGTCAAACTGGAAGCCCCTTGAGGGTGGGCCTAAATTTATCTTTTCCCATTGCCCAAGACAAAGCTCTGCTCACAGTGAGCCTTTAGTGCTAAGGATCAACTAGGAATAGGTTAAATCTAACCCTTTGTAACAGTGCCACTAGAAACCCCTTTCTGCTGATAGTAATTCCCTTGAAACCCCCTTCCAAGTTATTACCTTGAGGTTAGGACTCTGTCCCTGAGAAAGCACAGTTCTCATTTGCCAGTTCCCCTTTTCCCTCTCCCCTGATGTGGGACTTTTTCACTTGTTCTCAGGTTGGAACTCCTCCCCCTCACCCCATGAACCAGCCATATTTCTGGGAACAGAAATAATAAACCACAGACCAAAAATAACTTTGAATTTCCTTTAGAACTCCTCTCCTTTCTATTCTTCCTGGTCCTCAGGTCTCCAACACCCTCACAGAGGATTACCACCATCATCTTCCTAGTTTCTCCCTGGAAGAACTTCTACTGCCTACCTTCCCACCCCCATGCTTCCCTCCACCCCCCACCCCTAAACTGACACCTTGAGAATTCTACCCAATCAGATGCTGGGTTTCTGAGTTCCTAGAGCAAAGACTCTTCAAGTCCTATATTTCCTAAAACCTCTCATGCCCCATGACCCCTGTTATCCACAGCTATACCTACCTCTGCCTTCTTCTAAGGTACAGCATGGAGAGCACAGTTCTCAGAAGCTAGAGATCTATGCTAGGACAGGCTCCACCACTGAATAACTGTGTGGTCTTCAGCAAATATCTAGCTAGATCTCAATTTTCTTCTCTATAAATCATTCATTTTAGAAGAGATCCTTGCTCAGTTATTCCCATTTTCTGATTCTATGATTCCAATCTCTACTCTCCTCTTGTTCTCCATCCCCTATCCTTGAACCTTGCATAGTGAGAAAGAACCATGACTTGGATTCAGGGGATCTGAGTTCAAATCCTGCTCAAACATTCACCAGCTATGTGACCCTGGGCAAGTCACTTGACCTCTCTTAGCCTTAGTTTCCTCATCTGTAAAATGGGGGTAATACCCCTTGCACTAATTACCTCATAGGGTTGTTGTGAGGCAAGTGCTTAGCAACTTTAAAGTGCTGTAAGAGGCAGCTAAGTGTTGCAGTGGATAGAGGGCTGGCCCTGGAGTCAGGAAGACTTGAGTTCAAATTTAACCTCAGATACTTAATGTGTGATCTTGGACAAGACACTTAACCTCAGTTTCCTATAAAATGGGGGCAATCATAGCACCTATTGCTGTCAAAATCAAATGAGATAATATTTGTAATGCTAAGCATAGTGCCTGGCACACAGTAGGTGTGCGGGGAAAATCATTTTCCCCATCCCCCCCAATAAGTGACTTATTTTACTATTATTCTCTTTGTACATGCTATTCCTAGACCTAGTCTCTAAGGACTCTACTTCAATATTCTCTTGCCTAACCCCTTCATTTTACTGAGAAAAAAACTGAGTCACAAAGAAAAGTGACTTGACTAAGGTCACATGGTGAATTAATGGAACTCAGTCCAGGGTTCTTTCCCACAATACTCCAGCACCCCTGGAACGTCAGAATCGAAAGGAGACTCAGAGGTCATCTAGTCCAACTCCTAACTGAATAAGAATGATCTCTACAGAATAAATTCCTGGGGGCAGCTAGGTGGCGCAGTGGATAGAGCACCGGCCCTGAAGTCAGGAGGACCTGAGTTCAAATCTAGCCTCAGACAAAACACTTGACACTTACTAACTGTGTGACCCTGGGCAAGTCACTTAGCCCCAATTGCCTAAAAAAAAAACGAATAAATTCCTGACCAGCAGTCAGCCTCCACTTGTGTAAATCGTGGGTGACTTTTAATGGTGATCCCACTACGTCCTAAGGCAACTCCTTCCACTTTGGCATCACTCTCATAGCTAAGATGATTTTGTGGGCAGCAAGTCTAAATTTTCCTCTTGGTATCTTCCACTCAATGCTTCCAACTCTGATGAAAAGCTCTCAGAGGCCATGATGAATGAGTTTATTCCTCTTTCCATGTAGCAACCTTTCAAATACTTGAAAATGGCCCTCATGTCTCCTCTAAGTTTTCTCTTCTCCAGGCTAAACAACCCCATTTCCTGCAACTGATCATAAGCCAAAGACTTTGCACCATCCTACTTGCCTTCCTCTGCATGATAGCCAACTTAGCAGTGCCCTTCCTAAAAGTGTGCCTTCCTACAATGGAACACAATATTACAGATATGGTCTGACCAGAGCTTCCCAAGAAACTGTCACTTCCCTAGTCCTGGATATTATGTCCCTCTTAGGCAACCTAAGACTTTATTAGATTTGTTGGTTACCATAGTACACTGTTGACTTCATACTAGGTTTTCAGTCTTCTGAGACCCTCAGATCTTCTTCAGACAAACTATCTAGCTGTGCTTCACTCATTTTGTACTTGTGAACTTGATTTTTTTAATCCGAGTCTAAGACTTTACATTGATCTCTATTAAATTCTATCTCTTTTGATTCCACCCAACATCCCAGTCTTCTTAGGTCTTTTTAGAACCTGATGATTATTTGTGTTATCAGAGGTAGTTAGGTAGGAAGACCTGGGTTCAAATTCTGCCTCTGACACTTCTTAGCTATGTAGCCCTGGGCAAGCCATTTAACCTCTGCCCATCTGTTTCAACTGGAAATGGAGATAATAACAACATCTACTTTCCAGGTTTGTTGGGAAGATCAAAAGAGATAACATGTAAAGTGTTCAGCACAGCTCCTGGTAGTTAGTTGGCACCATAGCGCACAGAGTACTGGGCTTGCAATCATGAAGACTCATCTTCCTGAGTTCAAATCCAGCCTTAGACATTTGCTAGCTGTGTGACCCCAGGCAAATCACTTAACCCTGTTTGCCTCAGTTTCCTCATCTGTAAAATGAGCTGGAGAAGGAAATGGCAAACCACCCCAGTATCTCCACCAAAAAAAACTCCAAATGGAGTCACAAAGAGTTGGAGGTAATTGAACAACAGCAACAAATATGTCTTTCCTTTCCTTTCTTTATATCCTTCCCAGGTTTGTAATTTGCAAATTTGGTAAGCATGTCATCCCTGCCTTCTTCCAGATCACTGACAAAAATATGAAATAGCAAAGGGTCAAGTCCCAATTTGCTAGAACATCCCCTGAAGACCTCTTGCCATGCTGGCATGGGCACGTTAGCGACCACTCTTTAGTTCCAGCCATTCAGCCAGTTCCAAACCCATCTAAAAGCACTACCATCTAGATTGTGTCTCTCTATCTTTTCTACAGGAATAGCAAGAGGGACTTTCTCAAGTGCTTGGATAAAAATCTAGTCCCCTAACCTGTCAGTTTAGCATCCCTCCCTAAAAAAGAATCGGGTTAGAAAACAAAGATCTATGTTTTGCATGACTGCACATATATAACCTATATCAAATTGCTTGCATTCTCAATGAGGGAGGAAAGAGGGAGAGAATTTGCAACTCAAAATTTAAATAAAATGTTAAAAATTGTTTTTACATGTAATTGGAAAAAATTTTTAAAAATATTTAAAAAAGAAATGACCTGTTCTTTGTGATTACTACTTCTTTTTATAAATGTTCACTAACCTATATATCTTTAATAATATATTCTATAGAAATATAATGGAAATATTATGCATCCAAAGAAACAATGAACATGAAGAACTCAGAGAAACATAGAAAGACTTAAATGAACTGATGCGGAATGGAGTAAGCAGGATCAGGAAAACAACAACCCAAATAACTATAACAATGGAATGGAAAGAACAATAAAGGGAAACTGAACACCATATAATTATAATGGCCATCCATGGCACTGGAAGAGAGTAGAAAATGCTTGGAACTCTAGATATTGAATATGACATTTAGAGGCAGCTAGGTGGCAAAGTGTACCACTGCCTAGAGTCAGAAAGAACTGGGCTCAAAATCCTCCTCAGATCCATACTGGCTGAATAACTCCGTACAAGTCACCTAACCTCTCAGTGCCCAAGGCATTTCTCTAAAATTCTAAATTCCAAAGAAGGTGCCAGCCCACATTGGTGGAAGGAGTTGTTTCATCCAAGTATTCCCTGTACAACTACATCACAGGTTGAAGTCCCTATCCATACATTCCAGGCACTATGCTGGGGGATGGAAATACAAAGATTAAAAAAAAAAGTGATTTTAAAACAAAAGGCATTAAAAATAATAACAAAAAACTAAATATGGTCTAGAATTTTGTGAGAAATTGAAATCAAACTCACTTGTAAGCTATTTTCTTTCCTATTTTAGAAAACTAGGCCTACGTTTCCCATTCCCCAATCCTGTCTTATTCCTCCCATTCTCGTCCTTTGTAGATCACTCCGAGGGCCTCTTTTTGGCCCTATCTGTGCCCACTCCTTTGCTGGCCCCCAGTCCTCAAGCCCATCTGTGCCTCTAGCCACAGGCCTGCCAGGATCGATCCTGGTCTCTATTCTCCTGCCCCCTTCCCTGCTCACCCTCACACTCCCTGTCTGACCATCGGGTACATTCCCGGGTCTCTCGTTCCGTCTCTTCGCAGGCTGTGCAGGGTAGGCAGGGGTCCACGTGGTTAGCCTCATCTGAGTAGGTACCCTCAGGACACACCTCGCAGACAGTGTTCTGCTTATCTTGGCAGGAGAAGACTAGACCAGAACCTGGCTCGCACACACTGCAAGGCTTGCAGAGCCCTGAATCTTCATCTTGGTAGTATCCGTAAGCACAGCGGCACACAGCATCGTCAGCCTCCACGCAAGGCGCCGACATGCTCTGCAGCCCTACGCATTCGGTGCATGGCTTGCAGGCTTCCGTGGCACTGATTGTGTCTGAGAAAGTCACACCTGCGGTTAGAAAGAGAGCAGCATCAGATCTAGCCCTCACTAACACCTGGGCTTCTCATAATCCTGGGATTATGGAATAGCTTCTTCCACTGGCAGCAGACCTCCACCCCATGTACTCTCAGGCACTGTGCCCTCATCCAAGGTCAGGCCAGAGTTTAAGGATTGTAAAAATCCTCGACTCAAAGTCCTCGAACGTTATCATTTTGCTTCCTTCCCACACTGATGCCCCTACACACACACATACACACACACGCACACACACACACACACACACACACACCAATCGTCAGACATTGAGCTGTCCCTCCCAGACCCCATACACTGGGCTCTCTCCTCTCCAGTTCCCAGACACCAACTGGCCCTCCCAATCAATCCCCAGATGCTGAGTTCTTCCCTCTAACCCCTAAACCCTGAGCCATCTTCTCCCCCAAACAACTAGCCCTCCATAATCCCCAGAGCCTTCCTACCTCATGATCCCCAAACATCGAGCCCCCATAATTCTAAGACATTGAGCCTTCCCTCCAGGCCCCAAAGGCTGACACCTTCCTCTAAATCATTAGATGCTGAGCTTTCCCTTTCCCCCTCCTTCTCCCCTTCTTCCATCTCCAGTCACTAAGCTGTTTGGGCAGAATTTATGAACTTGCTTCCCTTGGATCCAAAAGGGCTGAAATCCTCACTCTCGGGTGAAAAGTCCCTGGCCACAAGGGGACATAGGCAAAGTGCCTAGTTAGGGCACAGAAATGATTGTTGCACCTCAGGCCCTGGAATCCCCTTGTCTGGACTGGTGCTTCTGCTTTAGGTAAGATTATAAATTAATAATAATAATTATTATTATTGTAATTCTGCTTTCTCCAAGGCCTGATCCAGATGCCATGGGAACCACCTGGGCTACAGATCCTTCAATCTATTGATCCTTCTCTCTGCTTCCACTCCCTTTTCTTCCTTTCTTCAGGAATTTAAGGAAGCAGGAGGGGATGGGGTATGGGGAGGAGCATAAGGTTTAAAGGGCAAAAACATTTGGTTTAGCACTGAAAGAGGTCCTAAAAAACAAAGAAGGAGTTTGGTCTATAGAAGGAGGGACTAGGGTTAGTTAGACCACAGGTAGGATGTCCCAACCTAACCCAAACTTCTGATACTCTCAACTCTGAAAGTTATTCTGCTGATTCCCATCTAACTCCATCTAACCCTATGGGTTTAGATTGGGAAGGGGGATGCTGGGTCAGGATCAGGGGAGCATTATGAAGTAAGGAAACAGGGGCACAGAGAAAAAGGATTCATATGGGGTAAAATCGGATTATTTAAAGCTGAGTCCTAGGTTCTAGTCTTTTGGTTCTCCCCAAATATGGACTTCAAAAATAGAGAGGAAAGGCAGCTAGGTGGTGCCGTGGGTAGAGCATTTGCCCTGAAGTCAGGAGGACCTGAGTTCAAATCTGACCTCAGACACTCACTAGCTGTGTGACCCTGGGCAAATCATTTAACCTGTTTGCTTTAAATAAATAAAGGTAGACAACAGCTTCAAGTTCTTACTCTGCATGCTTTGGTGGGACCATGTTACTGAACACGCAGATGAAGAAGGGGTAAGAGAAAGGCCAAGATTACACAGCAAAATAATAATTTAACATTTGTAAGGAATCCTATAATATAAACCTTTTTTTTTTCCATTTAGCAGATGAGAAACTGAGATCAAAGGAAAGAAGTGATCTTTCCAGAGTAACACAGCCAATACCAGCACCACGCCATCCTCCACCTGCTCAGAACTCATAGCCCTGAAGGAGTAAGAACTCTAAATGAGGGGTAGTCAATGTGTAAATGCCAGGAATGGGGGAGAATTCTGAGATAAAAAGCTGAAACCCCCTTACCATTGGAGGAGAGTAGAGGCAAAGCTGGTATTTGGAATTCAGAAGAGATGAAAAATTTTCTAAAGGTCATAAGATAGAAGGTGGGGGATGGGAAGGGCAGAGACAGGGGAAAAGAAAAGAATATAATAGAAAGGCAGGAGGGGAAGGAGAGGAAGAAGAGAAAGAAAGATTGACTGAGTAGGAAAGATTAAAAGACCTTTAAGTCCCTCAAGAAAGAGGTCTTACAAAATCCGACCCATTGGTGTTCCTTTCAGAGAAACACTGTGTATGGTGAAAAGGGCCCAAGTCTTGTCATAGAGTCAGAGCAGCTACTTGCTACCTACATGATGTTGGGTAAGTCATTTCCTCTCTCTGGGTCTCAGTTTCCCCAATTGCAAAATCAAGGGGATGGATTAGACGATCTTTAAGATTCCTTGTAGGTTTAAATTTATGATCTTGAATGGGTCAAACAAGAAGAATTGTGATTAACTTGCAAGTGGGAGCAAAATTTGTTAGGCAGCGGAAAGTCCATTCAAGCAATAGCTTTAGCAGGCCAAGAGGTCTTTGAGAAGAAGAAAGGTAGATGGGACTGCAAAGACATAGAGACAGGGGAACAGCTGGCTGTTGTAAGTGTGTTTATGTATGGAGGGGAGGGTGCTCTCTTCTACCTCAGGGGGGTGAAAATTGGCAGTCAGTCTCCTGGGAACATGTTTCGGGGGTGTGAAATATGTAGTGGGCTTTTTTTTTAGCTACTGGGGAAGGTGAGAGCAAAACTGATTTCTGTGTGGGAAATGTTTTAGGAGCAAGGGAAAGTCTGCTGAGGTCTCTTCTTCTGAATAAAGCAGCTCATTAAGCCAGGCCTGAGGTGAATTCTCGGCATGGATGGAAAGAGCTCCAAATGAGGTGCAACCACCTCCCTACTCTGCCCCTGTCCCTAGGTGCCTTCTCTTCCTAATTGACTCTGGACTCTATGACAGGAGGCAAGGGCTATGCTGAAGGAATAAGTCCTCCCTGCCCCGCTTCTGTGAGTGGTGAACAAGGGAAGTACTGGTGTCAGGTACTTTTTTGGGTGAATCTGATATTTGAAAGGCAGGTTAAAATAGACCCAGTGATAGAGATGTCAATTTTGGGCATGGAGACTTCAGAAATTGATCCTTGCTCCAGGCCTAGGAATTCCTAAGGAAAGTGGTAACTAACCCTTGTTATGTTACCAAGCCTTCCTTTTCTCCCAAGATCACAAGATCATATATTTAGAACCAGAAGGGAACTTAGAGGTCCTTAGGACCAATAGATGAGAAAACTGCAGCTGTGAAAGGTTAACTTGACTGGGTCACTTTGACTATGGTCACACAGCTAGTAAATGTCTGAAGTAAAATTTGAATTCGGGTCTTCCTAATCCTAAGCCCAGTACTCTATCCACTATGCTTGTTTCTAAGACCCTTCACAGATGCTTCCCTCTTCCTCCTAGGATCTCTTGTCTTCTCTAACCAGCTTAGAGAATATCCTTCCCACCTACCCCCACACCCCAAGCCCCATGAGATGCCTCATGAATAAATAACAGGCCCCCATTAGTTCTGGTCTGGAAAAAGAGGCTGAGTGGGCATATTTGAAAGGTGGGGGGAGAGGAAGAAGTTGAGCTAGGAGAATAACTTGCTCTCTATGGGTACACCTGAACTACCCCACCCCCAGCTTTTCAAGATGATCTGGTCTCAGAGGACAGAGAACACAGTGCCGAGGCAAGGGGGATTGTGGAGGAGGAAAGTCACTGATGATGGAGTTCCCTAAGATGTGTGAAGTGGGCGGGGGGGGGGGGGGGGGGGGGGGGGGGGGGGGGGGGGGGGGGGGGGGGAGAGAGAGAGAGAGAGAGAGAGAGAGAGAGAGAGAGAGAGAGAGAG